CTTTTTAAAAAATATTTATACCTTTTATTCAACTCAATCATTTAAATAAAACCACAGACAGGTAATATTGGCATAATTATTGTAATTTATAACATCTAATTTGTTTATCTTTATTAGACAACACCCTAATATGGGTTTTTATCATTTCAGCATTTGTTTAACTTTGTACCGAGACCTGAAGATGCTTTGCATATTGTAGAAAGCGAAACCGGTCGTCGGATAGTTAAATTAAATTGATTGTGAGTAAGTCTGATTTATTATTTCTTTACCTATTTGAAATGGACTCACACAAGCAACAAATTCATGATTTAAAAGATTTTTATTTTATTTATAAAAATACGTCAAACCATTGTTGTATACGGAGCGCCTTCATACAAAATCACTTGTTCTGAAAACACATATTTTTAAAATCTTTTACCTCGCTCTACCTCGAAAAATATTGGGTTTAGCAAAAAATTACTTTCTATAAACATTATAGACCAAAAATCAGAGAACACGTGAATTTTTTTAGAATTTCGATTGGATAATTAGTTTAAAAAAAATTAAATAAATCGAACGGCATGTCACGACGGACAGTGCTGAACGCAGATATGCGAGGAAGGGCGAGATTCCTGTGCCAAAGTCAACCGCAAATCGACTCAATTGATGACGATGTTGTTATGGTCGTTTTTTCATTGTGATGCTGATTATAAGGATGAATAGTGCTAGCGTAAATAGTGACTTCTTTGGCTCGTTTTGTTGTCAGTACACTTTTAGAATACTGTATGTGTTAAGTGATAAAATATATAGTAGTATTTATGTTATCATAATAGGTATTGTATATCTTTAAGGTTGGATACTTATTATTACTATTATTAATATTTTCCAGATTTAGCCATACGGCTTGCACTCCCTCAAAGGGGAAAATTCACTTATCTCAGATACTTACGATATCAAAAGGATTGAGCTCTGGTGGGACTCTTTCTGTGTTATCGAGCCCTAGGTGACTTAGTATGTAGAGGTATCCCGTATCCCCAAAAATTTTCGTACAGATTATTGTTATTATAAAGCCTACTAAGGACTTAGTAAAGTGGTTAAAGTTCAAAAGCTTGGAATATGCACATCTAAAATGGCATCGGTTTTCCTTGGCAATACATTTCTGATTCAAGAACAAAGGATAGTAATAAAAACAATTAAATCTATGTACTTACCTATTTCTTACTGACTAGATATCTTATGTTAGTTATCTTATTCTAAGTCAGACTCTTCAGTATTCTCAAAAGAACTAACATCTTCTGCGGTTAAAATTGTTTCACGTATATTACCTTTATTGCCACATTTCGCCTGGGCCACACATTTACAAGAACCAATGCATTTGATCTGTTTCCTTTTACACGAGCATTGGGGCCCTGTACAGTCTGAAAATTATATAAAAAAAGCTAATTTAATTATTCTCCACATAAAAAGGCAAAAGTTGACTCACCTTTTTTACATTTACAACTATTCAGAATATATGTATCTTTCGTCAACATGGGTTCCGTGCTTAAAACTGGTACCAGCTCTCCATTTTGTTTACTCCAGCCACTTAGCAACGGATTTGGCAGACATGGTCTTGGCAGATGTGTCGCACTACATAGCCATATTTTCGTCTGGAAGTGTATACGAAGGCAGTGTTGCCTCAGACTGTCTAAAGTAGGAGGCAGTTTATGAATAGGTTTCGTAGTGGCCAAAATACCTCTTAGAGTATTAATACACTTAATATTGTCGTTAGGTGTATAAAGAAGAATAACAGATTTAACAATATCATATCATCGAAAACATCTTGAAAGGCTGGTCAACATTTCCTTAGGGAGTAATCCATAGAGAGTTCGTGGATACCTATAAATCTTTCGTTGTCCTTTGTTCCAACCCTCATCTAAACTTCTGGAGTTGAAATGTCTTTAAAATGGGCACATCGGTAACTTTACAGTCGGCTATACATTTTGTATATCCTCCATTTTTGCTGACAGAATGTGTAATATTATTCTGGTATCGGCCTCTTTATGTGATGAGACTAATATTTCAGAATTCAAACCAAAATTTGTTTTGTAATGTAAAACGTCGCAAAATCCTCTGCTGGATAGGAAGTGAGCGGTACAATTTGTTAAGGAATATTTAACTAGCTGATTGCTTACGAAGTGTGTAAGCTGGTATTTATTAAAAACTCAATTAATAAATGAATTCCATTTTTGAGGTAATACTGTATCCGGACCTTCAATTAACCGTTGTATTGATTCAATTTTGGCGCGTCTCTTTTGTCTCGTGCATATCATAAAAAATGTGACACCTTTTGTGATTTTGTAACAACTGTAAACTGTTCTATTATAGAACCTAAGGCAGATTTATTTTATGGTATCGATAAAACTCCTGCTGGTACAAGTGACATTGGGTATGCTGTCAATTCATATTTGAAAATATCCTCATAATATTTATGTCTCTTTCAATTGCCTTGGTTGCTAGTATTTTTTGTAAAAATTTTTGCTCAGCTTGAATAATTTTCTTCTTTTCAGAGACAGTTTTATAGGTACCTGCGCGACGAAGTGTTGGAAGATTATTCTCTTTTCTATGCTAATAAAAATTGGGAGTTCCAACAAATCGTAAAAACTGATCATGTAGTTTTTGTACAGAATATATATCAATTTTCATCCGTTTTTTTTTTCTAGTTTCTACGTTTTGACTTGAGTGGTTGCTTAGGTCTCATGATACACGAAATTCATCTACCATCATGCCAATCATATTGTAGCTTAAAAACCAGTCGTCTAGTTTTTGCTGGTTTTAGTAAATCACACGATTCCTCCTGCATCTTTTGAGTTTGTATTTATGTGTTTAAAGCTATATCTACAAATAGTTGGTAAAAGTTTCTGTTCAAACTTTTCACAACAAAATTTCCTCTAATAAAGTCTTCATGAAATTATGGATACTTATCAGCAAATTTGTACATGTCCAACAAATATAATGTTCCCAAAAAGAATAGTTCACATGGCCAAATGCAAAGAAGTAAGGATGCATTTTTCGAAAACTAGAACAAAAATGTATTCTCCAGTTTCCGCGTCCTTCAACAAACTGAAAAGGAAATGGACTTTATGGAAAAAAACATGCCTTAATCTGATTTTTGACTCAAGTTTTACTTGAGTTCTGACTGTCAGACCTGCTGCAGTGGATTTCGCGCTATTAGTAAAAAATAATGCACAATGATGCACTTTCGCAATAGAATATACAACACAACAGCGTTTTAATGTAAAATTGACCCTAACAACATTGCCATCACTAGAGTCGATTTGCTTTGACTTCAGATTAGAAATCTCGCCCTCCCTCGCATCTCTGCGTTCAGCACTGTCCGTCGTGACATGCCGTTCGATTTATTTAATTCTTTCTTAAACTAAGTATCCAATCGAAATTCTAAAAAAACCCACGTGTTCTCTGATTTTTGGTCTGTAATGTTTATAGAAAGTAATTTTTGGCTAAACCCAATATTTTTCGAGGTAGAGCGAGGTAAAAGATTTTAAAAGTATGGGTTTTCAGAACAAGTGATTTTGTATGAAGGCGCTCCGTATACAACAATGGTTTGACGTATTTTTATAAATAAAATAAAAATATTTCTAATGTCCAGATCAACATGAAAATTTGAGGAATGAATTTTCGGTTATCGTAGATCCGAAAAAATGACGAAAAAAAAATTAGCACTTTTTTTTGTAAGGCTCCCCACCACTCTCCTCCCGTACGATTTTTGGACGACCAAGTGATTTTGCATTAGAAAGATATTAGAAACGAAAAAAAAATAGGTTTTACATTTTAGAAACAAAGTGCCCACCAAAATCTATTCTAGAAGCCTTTTGCCAGTCTATTTACTCTACTATGGTGAAAGAGGTGTTAATACGTTAGCGACATGCTGTGCAAAGGTAGCTGGATTTTACATTACCCCGTAAAAATCTTGATGCACTTGTATTTGCTCGAGATAATATTATAAATCAAATAACCAGATATACCACTCACCGCATGAAACCATTATAATATGTTGCCTTTTTACGGACTTTTTGAATATACTAGAACAGTTGCTTGCGCTTGCTTCTAAATTCGCGAGATGTTGCACCCGTTGCTGATAGTTTATCAATTTAAAATATTTAAAAAAACTTTTGCTACTATCTTACTGTTGTTTTTCTTGTTTATAATCCAATTTTCAGCCCCATATGTCATAATACTTCGCACTAATGTGTTATAAATCTGTGTTTTTGTTTTCATATTTAGGTGTCTATCCCACCATACTGTGTTAAGTTGTCGGATTGCTGTTCTTCTTGTTTGTCCTAATCTTTGCTTAATGCCGTTCTCTGTTGTTGCCTTTTTCGTGATTATAAACCCTAAGTATTTGAATTTATCGTTTCCTTTGATTGTTACGTTATCGTCAATCTGTAGATCTTCTATGTTTTCTTCACGTGTAGATAGGTACTCTGTTTTCGCGAAGTTAATATCTAGGCCAGTCTTGGTATATTCTTCTTTCAGTTTCTTCCTGATGTAACTGAAGTCTTCTTGGTCTTGCGCAACCACTACTTGATCGTCATTTTCTTTTCCATGTAGTCAAGGCTTCCTCTAAGTATATTTTGAACAGGGTTGGAGATATGGAACAACTCTGCAGGAGCCCTTTTGTTGTTTTGTTGTTGTTTTTTTTAGTTGAATTATCTTCTGGGGTAAAGATTAGGGATCAACTGAAATTGTGAAAGGATAATTTTGTTAATTTTAATCACTACGTGAAGTTACTTTCATGAGAAAGTCAAACAAAATTAAAAATGCTTAGATCTATCATCTATCCCACCATTCAGATACTGTAGTTGTGTACAACTGTATATATATATATATATATATATATATATATATATATATATATATATTCCTAGCTGTATAATCTTTAACGCTAATCATTTGTATCTTCTGACTACTCCGTTAATGTGGTAATGACTTACTATTTATAATTTTTTGATTTGTTTCAGATGTTCGGGTCTAAATCACTGTAGCTTTATACTTTCTGAAGACTGTCCTGGGTCAGAAATTTTTGGACCAGGAAATGTGACAATCCAGTATGCATGTATTACAGGTAAGATATTCCATAAAGATTAAATTTAGATGTTGGTACTAATTATACGAAAAAAATATCTAATACTGCACTATATCTAACGAGGCACTGTTTGAAGGCGCACCTATATCATCTATAAAGACCAAATATGTAAGCAAGTTAAAGGAGCAACGATGAGTTCACAAGTGTCACTGGTAATAACAATCTTTGTAAAATTGTGATTTAGGTATGTAGACGACATATTTATTATCTGGACACATGGAGAAGAAAAACGCATTCGAGATGAACTTAACGAGATAAAAATATAATAATTTCAAAAATCATTACTCTCCTATAGAATATATAAAAAAGTTTCATAATATATTATTTATTAAAAAAAATTATTTATTAAAAAAAAACAGTTCCCAGCTGTTCTCCGCGTGTAGAGGTTCTCTCTCACCGGCTCTGGTTAACTCGATTCAGCCATGTGATACCTCTAGTCAAATTTAATTTAATACTGAACATCGCAGTTATTTTACAACACAATGTACAATCTTTTATAACTAAATGTAATTTACAGGGTTTTTACCCTAGTATTTTGGTGGCTCTGGCATTGTGACCTAGCATTTTCGATTTTAAAACCTGATGATGGACTGTGTGGTCCGAAAACGTTTGTTTTATTGATGTAGCCCTTTTAAGGGTTTTTTAAATAAATATACCCATTTACAAAGACTAACCTCTTTTTGTGATACGTGGTATACAGCCAGCTACAGGAATTTTTTCCTTGTGGATTTTATATTATTTATTAGTTGCCTATATCTCGAATCTATTCTGCAATTATTAATAGCTTGTTCTATGGCCCACATCTCGATACTATCAAACGCCTTTTCATAGTCGACGAAGGCAAGAAATACGGGTAGTTGGTATTCATTTGCCTTCTCTATCTATGTTCATGTTCTCATTGTTAGCAGATGGTCTGATGTACTATATCCTTTGCGGAAGCCAGCCTGTTCAACTGGTTGGTAATTGTCCATTTTGTAGGTCAACCGGTTGTTAATAATTCTCATAAATAGTTTGTATACTTGACTGAGCATCGATATAGGTCTATAATTCTGTAGATCACATTTGTCCCCTTTTTGTGTAAGAGTATTACTAGACTCTCGTTCTTATTCTCTCTTCCAGTCTTTAGGGATCTTGCTATTATGGAGATATCTATTAAATAGCTCTGTTAGTACAGGAATTGTTAATATCTTGCTTGTTTTCAAGAGCTCGGCAATTATACCGTCGTGTCCTGAAGCTTTATTATTTTTTAGCTCTTTTAAAGCTCTTTCTATTTCGATTCCCTTTATATTTGGTAGTACTTCTGATCCCACGTTATTTTTCTTTTGACGTTCTCCTTTGTTGTTGCATTAGGCTGGCTTTGCGAGCTATACAAGGATGTGTAGAAGTCTTCGACAATATTTGTTATTTTATATTTGTCCTTCTCTTCCTTATTGATGGCGTCTTTAATTTTGATGATTTTTTGAACTCCCAGTGCGGGTCTTAGACATTTTAAGTCTCTGTTCTTTTCAATGACTAGCTCAAATATGCCCATGTATGTCTTTATCACTTTTTGTATATTCTTGTGCCAATAACCCTAAGTGGTTAAAGCAAAATAAATAAAAAAAGCATTAGGAGCATGCACTAGTTCCCAATAAAATAATGACAAAATTAAGGGATTAAACAAAATGTTAACCCTTTATTAGATTTCGCTTTCTGAGCTTGATCTAATAGTAAATATTAATAAATTTGTGACCCTCTCATTGGAGAAAAACAGAATAAAGAAGTTTTAACTGAAGGGGGATTGCATTATCAAGTACATAAAATATTTTAATAAAAAATTGATTTTATTACGAATAAGCCGATAACTTTTCACACTTTCCTTGTGTGTCCACTTTTTATGTATATTAAAACAGATTCTGATTGATTATAACAAACATCAATTGCGTGGCCTATTATTAAACTCAAAACTTGTGTACACAGGAAACACATTTTTAATTAGTATTTAAGTCTCACATGGTTTTTATTAACTTAATACTAATCCTACTTACTAATAGTTTTTTTGTCGTTGACAGTTGAGTGTAAAAAATAAACATATTTAATGTGGTTTGGAGAGGACAAAATTAATCAATCTGTTGCTGACAAGCGTGATGTAATCAACATTTCGGGTGCAGATGCCGATGGGTAATTGCGTCAAGTGTCGACAGTTATCGTTTACGACATTATTCTACGTAATTGCATAAAATTACCACAGTCTATTGACTATGTCATTTAATAACGAATTCATAATTTTATTGTCTAATTTTCTAAAAATAGCACGGATTGGTATATTTTGCCATTTTTCCTCAATTAATCAAATGCTTCTATTTTAATTGAGGCTATTCTTCTTATTGAGCCGTTTTCTAACGGGTTAGCGATCACTTCTTTAAACGCTTACCTACCTTTTGCAACGTGAAATATCTGTTTAACACTGAGGTTAGTCCAATCTCTGATATTCCTCAGTCAGCCAGGATCTAACAATTGTGCCGGTGATAAAACACGACTAGCACAATCAAAGGAGTCTGATTAGAAGGCACATAATGCAGAGTAAAGTGTGGTATCAGTTCTTGCATGTGTTAAATACGATTGGCAATTTATGGGTAGAAAATAGAAAAATTAGCTTAAGGGAGCGTTATCACCGAATCAGACCAAACATCAGAAGTTCGGAAGGAGAAACCTTTGACAGATGTGACTAGAGTAGCCAGCAATGGCTGTCAAGAGCTCCAATCTTGTCGAATCAGAGCGAGCATAAAAATTGGACGTGACTTGTTGACAAAAGTCACTAGATCAGTCAGTAGTACAGCTGCCAAGAGCTCCGATCTTGCGATAGATGGTCTTGTGTAGAAATAACACCAAAAATGTAACACGTACAAGTACAGAGGTCTGTTGTATCTGTTCAGATGTTTAAGCATCCCAGAATACATTGAAGTACCACACCGGTGGTACAAGACGTTTGACTAGCAAAAAGACATTCGTTTGGTCTAATTCTCTAACAATAGTAAAGGTTCTATGTTTTGACATTTCCCCCAAATATTCAAATGCTTCTATTTTAATTAACGCTATTCTTATTGTGACGTCTTCTAACGAAGGTTAGCGATCACTTCTTTAAAGGCTTCCCTATCTTTTGCAACGTGAACTGTTTAACACTGAAGTTAGTCCAATTTTTGATATTCCCTAGCCAAGATTTCTTCTTTCTTCTTAAGCCTTCTTTTTTTCCTCTACTCTTCCTTGCATGATTACGTTTAGAAGAGAGTATTTATCGTTTCGAAGTATGTGTACTGGTTTTCTTATTTTGATATCTCCAATTCGAATTAACACTTTTTGGTTTGAGACTTTTGCAGTCAAATAAATTTTAAAAATGCGCCTATATTTCGAATGGCTCCAATTTTTTAAGGATTGGGCTTTCAGAGCCCAAGCTTCTACCACATATAACAGTTGCGACCATACATATCATTCGACAAATCACAATCTGATAACCATACTCAATTTCCTATTTTTCAACATTTACTTGTATTTGCACGCTTGTAGCAAAGCTAAATTGAAAGAATCCTTATAACGATGGATTTAAGAAGAGAGCAAGCCATCAATTGCATTTCTTTTCTCAAATAATAAATATATAGAATTCCAAAAATAGAGGGCCGTAGAGATCTAGGAAGAAAACAAGTTTCTTGCAACTTTTTGATGAGAGATATTAGGATACTTACTTACTCCGTGGCGTTACAACCCTTCGTGGGTTTTAGCCGACTCGACAACATGCCTCCACTGTTTTCTGTCTTGAGCAACCTCCATCCAATTCTCCACGCCCATAGTGCTTAGGTCTCCCGCTATATTATCTCGCCACCGGAGACGAGGGCGTCCGCGTGGTCTCCTTCCAGTTGGGACTTCCTGCCACACCAGTCTTACTGTTCGTTCGTCAGAATGTCTTCTGAGGTGTCCTGCCCATTGGAGTCTTCTGGACTTTATTTCTTTTATGATGTTGGCGTCTGGGTAAAGTTCTTCAAGCTCTTTATTAGTTCTTATCCTATATTGTCCTGATGTTTCATCAAGCACCGGACCAAAGATCTTCCTTAGGATTTTTCTTTCCCAAACACGTAGTCTCTCTTCATTTGCCTTTGTCATCGTCCACGTTTCGCTTCCATACATCACAACGGGTCGTATGATTGTTTTATAGACCTGTATCTTCGTACGTCGTGTTAGTTGTTTTGATTTTATAAGGTTTTGGAGGGCAAAAATACATCTGTTGCCGGCCTGAATCCTGTTGTTTATTTCTTGTGATCCGTTATTGTCTTCAGTTATTGTTGTTCCAAGATACTTGAATTCCCTAACGCGCTCAAAGTTAAAGTCATCGATGGTAATGTTCCGACCGATTCTGTCTCTGCTTTGGTTATTGCGGCTCATATACATATATTTCGTCTTGTTTTCGTTGATTTGGAGCCCCATCTTCTCTGCTTCCTTCTCAAACCTTACGAAAGTCTCCTTCATCCTTAATCGCGTGTTTCCTATTAGATCTATATCGTCTGCAAATGCCAGTAGTAAGTTTGGTCCTTCTCGATGAAATACTGTATTCGGTTTTTCGATTCTTGCACTTCTGATTATGTGCTCCAGAGCTAAGTTGAAGAGTTGTGGTGAAAGTGCATCTCCCTGTTTTAGTCCATTGTTTATTTCAAATGTCTCCGAGTATTGTTGTCCCACTCTCACCTTACATCGTAACCGTTCCATACACATCCGTATCAACCGGACTAGTTTTTTTGGAAAGCCAAGTTCCTGCATCGCTGTCCACAGTCTGTCACAGTGTGTCAAGATATTAGGATGCTTCAGAATAAAGATCATGCACTCTAACACTTTTTGCTGAAGAAGAAATTCAAACATGGGAAGGCCTACTTTTTCTGAAAGATCTTGTAATTTTTCCTTGACTCTTTTATTCAACACCTATTTGACTGGCCTATAAAAATTACAATAGTTAA